GATTCCGCGGCACCAGCAACGGGTGCACCCCCACCTCACGCCCACGAAAATCCTCGACCGTCCACTTCCGACGCCGGCTCATCCCGACCCCCTAGGCGACACCCATCACATGCCGGTACACCAACGCCGCCCACCGAGAATAGAACGCAAACGGCGGCTGCTCGTTGTTGATGTGCATCCCAGGCAGCCGAAGGCGCTTCACCGCGGCGGGGGGCTTGAACTGGTTGAAATACGCGTCCCCTACGGCGTGCGGCGCCAGGTGACGGAGCATGTCATAAAGCCGGCCCAGGTTCTGACGATCGCCCTGCGTCTGCAGATCGCCGAGGACGCCGAAGCCGAACTTTTCGCCGTCGATCTGGAAGACCGATCCGTTGCTCGTGTGCAGATCGAGCACGTTCCTCGCCACGACCTTCGTCTCCGGCACGGAGGACTCGGCCCGTTCACGGAGCTGCCCGATCCCCCTGGTGGAAGACATGGCGACACGCCCATCCTGCAGGCTCGTCTGCGGCCGACGCCCCGTAACCTCCGTACCCGTGCTGTGCGCGAGCACCAGGACATCGATCCGCTCCGTCGGCACGATCGCCGTGGGACCGCGCCACAGCTCCAGCTCGAGCGCCCCATCCTGAACGCGGATGCCCTTGACCCGGATCGACCCGCCAAGCCGCTCCATATCACGCAGGGTCACACTCAGCGCGTCGCCCCCCAACTCGACGATCCGCTCAACGCACCGCTCCGAGACGTCCGGTGTCGCCTGCGACAGAATCAGCGGAGGCACGCGGGCGAGCGCGTGCCTCAGGGTCGGCTCATCGCTCAGTCCCTCAGCAGCGAGCGAGCGCACAAGCTCATCCTGAGAAACGCCCTCCGGCGGCGAGATGAGAGTGCAGAACGCCGCTGATTCATGGTGTGCCATCGTCCATCAACCTAACACGCGTCAAGAACCATGGCGATCCAAAAAACTACAAGAAACAACACAAAAGGCGCTCCCCCCAAAGGAGAGCGCCCGATTCAAAGTCACTGATGCCCGGTGCCTGATGCCTGATGCCCGGTGCCTGATGCCTGTCGCACTAGCGACCCCGCATCGACTCCTCATACGCAATCTTCCCATCGATCATCTGCGCCAGCGCCACGCACCCGCGGCTCGTATCGCCCAGGTTCTTCGCCGCGTCGATCGCGTACTTCGCGTTGTGGTAATCCTTGTCGTAGAACGCCATCGCGGCGCTGAGGAACCAGTGGTCGCTCGTCACGTGCGCGTCCGTCTCGATGCGGTGCTCGACGCCCGCGCGGAGCTCCGCGACCAGCTCGTCGAACTCCGACACCGGCGGCCCGTCGCTCACGCCATCCGCGTCGAACTCGAACGCGCGCCGAACCCCGTGCGCCCCGTTGCGAAGGTCACCCTTCGCCAGAGCGCTGAGGCCGAACCCGAGCTTGGGAAGGCCCTCGTCGTAATACGTCTGGCACAGATCGGAGAAGTAGCTCAGGGATCGCGCCGCCTCGCCGTGGATGAGGTAGTCCCACCCGCGCAGCCCGTCGACACTCGACGCCGTCGGCCGACGCACAACCACTGTCTCACGGACCACCGGCTCGCGCTCGATCACCACCACCTCGCGCTGGATCACCGGCGTCGGGCACGTCGAGTACGAGCGGTAGTACGTCCGCGGCTGGTAGTACCGATAGGGCCGGGTGTACGTGTGATGGCGGTACGAGCGGTGGCCGTACGAGTGGCGGCTATACGAGTGATGCCCGTACGAGCCCGAGTGCACACCGAAATGCACCCCGCCAGAGCTGACACCGAAGTGCACGCCCGAGCGATGGTTGTCGTGGTGCCGGTCGTGATGGCGGTACGACGACGAGGGGTATCGGCTGTGCGAATGGTGGTCCCGGTACGAGCGGTGCCGGTCGTGCGCGCTGCCGCGGTGCGAGCTCGAATGCCCGCGATCCGCGCCGCGGCTGCTGCCCCGATTGCGGTCCGCGCGGCTGTTGCCGCGATCGCGACTCCCGCTCCGTGCTTCGCGGCTCGACGAGCCCGATTGGTTCCGCTGGTTCAGGCTCTCCCGCCGGTCCGCCGCCTTCTGCATCTGCCGGATCTCGCGCCGCTCCTGCTTGCTCTGCGCCGTCGCGGTGCTCGCGAGCAGCGCCGTGCCGGCGTTCGCCAGCGCGGGGGTCGAAGAGGCATTCGCAACAGGCAGGCCGGTCCCCACAAAGAGCAGGCCGAGAGACGAAGCAGCGATGATGAACGTCCGTTTCATGATCAGTTCTCCTGTTGCGTGGCGCGGGCCACCATGGCCCGCGCCATCAATCCAATCCACCGCCCCACCCATCCTTGTATCAACATGTTGAATCATCGTTGCACTCCGATGATTCCCACCCGCTCAGAAAAGGGCTCCCACGACCCGTTCGCGCACTCGTTGCCCGCTTCTGGAGCAAAAAACCGCCGTTTCCCGATACACACACCGTGATCAACGCCGGCAAAGCCATTTTCCTCTGCGCCCTCGCTCTGCTCAGCATCGGCGTGCTCATGGTCCACTCCGCCGGCCTCTCCGTCGGCGGCCCGGACCCCGTCACCTTCGAGTCAATCGTCTTCTCGCGCTCCACCGCCTACATGGCCATCGCCGTGCTCGCCCTCGCCGCCGGCGCCGCGCTCCCCGTCAACGAGCTCGCCCGCCCAACGCGACTCTCCCGCTGGATCCCCGCGCTCATCCCCCTCCTCCTCCTCTGCATCCTCGCCGTCTACATGCCCGCCGTCGGCCACAAGGTCAACGGCGCCGCCCGCTGGCTCCGCGTCCCGGGCACCTCCACCACCTTCCAGCCCAGCGAGTTCGCCAAGTGGGGGCTCATCCTCGTCACCGCCTGGTACGCCCGCCGCTTCGCCACCTCGCTCACGAAGTTCTTCGCCGGACTCCTCCCCATCCTCTGCATCGTCGGCCTCTTCGCCGCCATCATCGCGATGGAGGACCTGGGCACCGCCTTCCTCATCGCCGGCGTCTGCTCCCTCCTCCTCATCGCCGCCGGCGCGCGCATCCGGCACTTCCTCATCGTCGCCCCCGCCGGCCTCGCCGCATGCGTCGCCTTCATCATGACCAGCGACTACCGCGTGAGGCGCCTCACCTCATTCATCAACCCCTACGAGGACCCCGAAGGCGCCGGCTACCACATCATCCAGTCCATGGTCGCCATCGCCAACGGCGACGTCACCGGCCGCGGCCTCGGCTTCGGCCTCCAGAAGTTCGGCTACCTCCCCGAAGACCAGACCGACTTCCTCTTCTCCATCATCGCCGAGGAGCTCGGCCTCGCCGGCGTCTCCCTCATCATCGCCGTCTACATCGCCCTCCTCTTCGCCGGCCTCCACATCGCCAAGCGCCAGACCGACCAGCTCCTCCGCCTCACCGCCCTGGGCGTCACCCTCACCGTCGCCTTCCAGGCCTGCATGAACCTCCTCGTCGTCACCGGCCTGATGCCCACCAAGGGAATCGCCCTCCCACTCCTCTCCTCCGGCGGCACCGGCTGGATCCTCACCGCCGGCTGCCTGGGCCTGCTCATCGCCATGGACCGCGCCGCGCCGGACGAGATCCCCGCGCCAACCGCCGAGCCCGAAGCGCCCGACGACGCCCCCGCGCACGCCGCGCCCCTCCCCGCGTAACCACACCATGCCCACGCCCGAGCCCAACGCGCGCGCCGTCCTCTTCGCCGGCGGCGGCACGGGTGGACACGTCCTCCCCGCCGTCGCCGTCGCCGAGCAGCTCCTCGAGCTCGACCCGCACATCCGCCTCGCCTTCGCCACCTCCACGCGCCCCATCGACCGCGCATCCCTCGACGCCGCGCTCCCCAAAGACCTCGCCCACGCCCCGCTCATCACCCAGATCCCCGCGCACCCCCCGTCAGCGAAACCCGCCCGCCTCGCGAAGTTCATCAGGTCATGGGGCCCCTCCGTGCGCGCCGCACGCGGCGTGTTCCGCGCCCTCCCAGAGCGCACCGCCGTCCTCGCACTGGGCGGCTTCGTCGCGCCCCCCGTCGTCCAGGCCGCGCGCGTCCACCGCAAACCCGTCACCGTCCTGAACATCGACGCCGTGCCCGGAAAAGCCAACCGCTGGATCAAGCGCCGCGCCGACAGCGCGTACACGACCTACGACATCCACGACCCCACCTGGACGAAGATCAACCCCATCGTGCGCCAAAGCGCCATCGAGCACGACGAGCGCGCCGCCCGCGAGCGCCTCGCCATCGACCCCGCGAAGAAGACCCTCCTCATCACCGGGGGAAGCCAGGGCGCGCGCACCGTCAACGATTTCGCCCTCGCCATGCTCGAGCATCACGCGAGCGCCTTCGACGGCTGGCAAGTGATCCACCAGACCGGTGCCGACCGCGAAGACATCGCCCCCGCCTACATCAAGGCGGGCGTCCCCGCCCTCTGCCGCCCCTTCTTCGACTCCATGCGCGACTGCTGGGGCGCCGCCACGCTCGCCCTCGCCCGCGCCGGCGCCGGCACCGTCTCCGAGGCCTGGGCCAACCGCGTCCCTTCCCTCTTCATGCCCTACCCCTTCCACAAAGACAACCACCAGCGCGCCAACGCCCTCCCACTCACCGAGGCCGGCGCCGCCATCCTCGCCGACGACCGCGTCGACCCGACCAGGAATCTCGAGACCGTAGGTCCGATACTCTCCGAGCTGCTCTCCAACGCCGAACTCCTCAACGAGCGCCAGGACGCCGCGAGCGGGCTCGAGACCCCGGACGGCGCCGAGACACTCGCGAAAGCACTCCGGGACGCCCTCACACTGTGAGATCCTCGAAACACCCATCGCCCCGTCGCGACCCGGTGATACACTTGAACTGTGACGACCGCGACCGACAACGAGAGCCAGACCACCGCCGCCCGCGGCGTGTGCGTCCTGCTCTGCGACCCCGGTGAGACCGGCGGCCCCGTCCCGCCGAACTCCCTCCTCCAGGCCCTGAGCAGCAGGCGGATCCGCCCCCTCCCCGTCGCGGACCCGCTCCTCGCGCTCGCCATGCTCGTCCGCCTGGAGCGCGAGACCGCGCAAACACCCATGCCGATCCTCTTCATCGCCTGCTCCGAGGAGCCCCCGACGGACGACCTCCTCCACGCCGTGAAGGCCTACTGCCCGAGCGCCGTCAGCAGGCGGCACACCGACTCCGGCCACATGGTCCCCCTCGAACCCGAACCCGCCCACAAAACCAACGGCAGAACGCCCCCCACGCCCGTCCCGGGTCGGAACCCCGACCTGCGCCTCGCCGGCGATCCACCCGAACCGAAACCGGCCGTCGACGTACAGGAAGAAGACACCGCAGACGAGGATCACGCCACCCTCACCGACGAGGAGCTCAGCATGCTCCTCTCCGACGACTGGCACCGCCGTGCCGACGGCACCCAATCATGAACCAGTCCGAGCGAACACCCGACCCCTCCGAACAGGCGCTCACCCGCGTCATCCTGGTGAATGCGCCCGAGCTCGACCGCCCCCTCCGACGCGACCCGCGCGTCGAGCTCATCCGCGCACGCAACGCCTTCGAAGCCCTCGGCGAGCTCGGCCAGGCCGAACGCGACAGCGCCGACCCGCCCGCCGTCGTCCTCGGCCCCGACGCCCTCACCCAGATCGACCCCGAGGCCCTCCGCAAGGCGATCGACACCGTCGACCCCCACGCGCGCCTCATCGCCATCAACCGCGAACGCGGCGCGCACCGCAGCAGCGCCGCCACCTGGGCCGAGCCCGAGACCCTCGCCCGCGCGCTCTTCCCGAACGACGCCCCCAGCGACGCCGAGGCCCCCAGCGTCGAGATCGATTTCGAAGAAAAGCCCGCGAAGAAAAAGAAGAAAAAGAAGCACAAAGACAAGAAACGCGCCGCCCTCTCCGCGGGCGACGAGCGCGTCGTTCTCCGCATCATCCTCTCCGGCGGCGACCCCCTCCCCGAAATCGTGAGCCGCGTCACCGACGCACTCGGTTCCGACCGCATCGAATTCGTCCGCGCGACGGACAACGACAATCAGCCAAACCTCGCCGAGGGCTTCGCCGCCGTCCGCGTCTCACGCCGATCCCACACCTACGGATGGCTCGTCGGGCCCGACGCACTCGAACCAGCGCTCAAAGACCAGGCCGAGACCGCAGCCCTCTGGCTCTCACTCGCCGAGCAGCACGCCCAACTCCGAGCCCTCGCCTTCACCGACTCCCTCACCGGTGCCTGGAACCGCCGCTACTTCGACAAATACCTCGCCTCCGCGCTCCACGAGGCCCGCGTCAAACGACACAACCTCACGCTCCTCATCTTCGATATCGACGACTTCAAGCACTACAACGACGAGTACGGACACGCCGCCGGAGACGAGATCCTCACCGAGGTCATCCGACTCCTCAAAACACAGGTCCGACCCAACGACAAGGTCTGCCGCATCGGCGGCGACGAGTTCGCCGTGATCTTCTACGACCCCGCCGGCCCGCGCGAGCCCGCGAGCCACCACCCGCGCTCCATCTTCCAGATCGCCCGACGATTCCAGAAGCAGATCGCCGATCACAACTTCCCCAAACTGGGTGAGCGAGCCAAAGGCTCCCTCACCATCTCCGGAGGCCTCGCCACCTACCCCTGGGACGCCTACGACGCCCAGGAACTCATCGAGCGCGCCGACCACCTCGCCATGGTCTCCAAGAAGCAGGGCAAGAACGTCCTCACACTCGGCAACGCCGCGCACCAGGCCGACCAGCGACCCCCGGACCACGACGGCATCGATCTCCCCAACGACACCAACTGATCCCCGAACACCGCCCGGCGCACGCCCCGCCGACCCCCGAATCGCCCCCGCAACGGCCATTTTCCCCGAAAATGACCGAGAATCCGCGATATCGGACCCCCAACAGCTTGCGGCATCACCCGCTTTCAGCCAAAGTAATGCGTCGTGATCCCCGCTCACGAGCGGTGATCCATCACCATTATCCACTCACCATCCATCCGGAGACGCAATCCGTGCAAGAGTACGAAGCCCTGAAGCAGCTGGTCGAAGAGTGCGCCGAAGACATCCGCAAGGCCGAGGGCGGCAACAAAGCCGCCGGCACCCGGGTCCGCAAGCAGATGCAGCAGATCAAGAGCACCTCCCAGGACATCCGCAACAAGATCCTCGAACTCCGGACCGACGACGCGTCCTGAGGACCCCCCTTAGGTCCCCCTCACCGGGGCCCAGAGGCCCCGGCTCGAACATGCCAGCACCGACGCCCATCCTCGACCTGAGCGCCATTGATCTCAGCGCCTGCGTCTCCGACCGTGCAGGGATCGCGCAGTACATCCCGCACCGCGGGCACTTCGCGCTCCTCGATCGCGTTATCTGGCACGACGACGCCCTCGCCAACGCCGCCGCCATCATGCACGTCCGGGACGATCAGTTCTGGGCCGCCGGGCACATCCCCGGGCGGCCCCTCCTCCCGGGCGTCCTCATGATCGAGGCCGCGGCACAGCTCGCGTCCTACCTCTACTACAAGAAGTTCTCCCACCAGATCTTCGCCGGCTTCACACGCATCGAGGACTCGAGCTTCCGCACCACCGTCACCCCCGGCAACGACCTCTACCTCCTCGCCCACATCCGCAAGTCCCACATCAAGCGGTTCGTGAGCCACGTCCAGGGCATCGTCAACGGCGACGTCGTCTTCGAGAGCACCATCACCGGCATGTGCCTCCCGGAGATCGGCGAGTTCACCCTCGCCCCCGTCGACGCCGAGCCCGCCGACTGCACGAACCCCAAGGGCTGAGATGCCCCCGCTCGCCAACCCCCTGGCGATCACTCCACACGCCCCGCCCAGCTTCACACGCGAGGACACCGACCGCCTCCCGCGGTCGCACGCGCTGCTCGCCTTCGACCACGCCGACGGCGCCACCATCCAGCTCCTCACCACGAGCGACGCACGAGACCTCGCCGAGTCCCGCCTCCTGGACGCCCAACCCTCCCCGCGCGCCGACCTCGCGAGCGTCACCGCCCGACTCCGCGTCTGGCCCGCCTGCTGCTCCCTCGAAGCCGACCTCCTCTACGCCCGCCTCGCGCCGACGCTCATCCCCAACCAGATCGAAACCGTCCGCGACACCAACACCGTTCACCTCCTCACCGCCGACCCCGCCGACACCCACCCCCGCTTCCGCTCGTTCCCCTCCACCGACCCGCTCCCCGATTCGCCCATCGTCGGCCCCTTCACCACCCGCAAACGCGCCGAACGCTTCGCCGAGACCCTCGTCGACCTCTTCGAGCTCTGCCGCAAGCACGAGCTCCTCGTCCTCGCCCCCGACGCCACCGCCTGCGTTTACAAGGAACTCGGCACCTGCCCCGCCGCCTGCGACGGCAGCGAATCCCTCGACGCCTACCGAGCCCGCTTCACCGAAGCCCTCGCCCGCGCCCACGCTGACGCCCCCCTCATGGCCCTCCACGCCGCCATGAATGAGGCCAGCGCGACCCTCGACTTCGAGACCGCCGAGCGCCTCCGCAAACGCATCGCCACGCTCGCCGCCATGCGCGCCGAGCCCGACCACCTCGCCGCCGACCTCCGCGATTCGACATGGCTCGCCACCTCGAAGACCGCCGACGGCAAGCACCGCTACGCCGCGCTCCTCGGCGCCGGCCACGTCCTCGCCGAGCACACCGCCCCCGCCGACTCACCCCCCGATCAACTCGCCGCGCACCTCACACCACACGACAGGACGCCCGAGCCCGACCTCTTCACTGTCGAACTCCTCACCCGACGCTTCGCCAGGCGCGACCCGCGCGACCCCGCGCGACTCACCGCGCTGCCCTCCGCGGCCCAACACGACATCGCCGCCGCCATCGCCGCCCACACCGCCTGATTCGCCCAACCGCTATCCTCTGGCCCCATGCACGCCTACCCCCTCATCCTCTCCCCCATCCTCAAGGAAAAAGTCTGGGGCGGACGCCGCCTCGAGCGTCTCGGCAAGCAGCTCCCGGACGGCGCCAAGATCGGCGAATCCTGGGAACTCGCCGACCTCGGCGCCACCAACCCCGAGGGCGGCGGGGGCGACAGCGCCCGAACAACCATCGCCAACGGACCCATGCGGGGACTCACCCTCCACGACGCCATCCTCGCCCTCGGCCCCAACCTCCTCGGCAACACCCACCTCACCCCAGCCGGCGACTTCCCCCTCCTCGTCAAGTACCTCGACGCCAAAGAGAACCTCTCCGTCCAGGTCCACCCGAGCCCCGAGTACGCGAGCGCCCACCCCGAGGCCCACCTCAAAACCGAGAGCTGGTACATCGTGGACGCCGACCCCGACGCGAAGCTCTACATCGGCATCAAGCCGGGCGTCACACGCGAAGAATTCGCGAAGCGCATCGCGGACGGCGCCGTCGAGGACGCGCTCATCGCCGTAGACGCGATCCCCGGCCAGCTCCACCACCTCCCCTCCGGCGTCTGCCACGCCCTGGGCGGCGGCGTCCTCGTCGCCGAGGTCCAGACCCCCTCCGACACCACCTTCCGCGTCTTCGACTGGGGCCGCACCGACCGCACCATCCACGTCGAGCAGGCGCTGCAGTGCATCGACTTCGACGGCAGGCTCACCCAACCCCCCGTCACCTCCGACGGAACCGAACGCTGCCGCCTCCTCACGACAGACTTCTACATCCTCAACGAGGTCCGCCACCTGGGCAACACCGAGTCCAACGTCCGCACCGGAGACGGAGCGCGTGTCATGATGTTCCTCAAGGGCGAGGGCCGCATCACCTCCAACGACCACCACTTCGACCCCGTCCCCTTCCACCCCGGCCAGACCCTCCTCCTCCCCGACGCGATGGACCCCGCCACCGCCATCTTCACCCGCGACACCATCGCCCTCGAAGCCCGCCTGCCATCTCCATAGCAACCGCGTCAGTAGCAACCGCATCAGTAGCAACCGCATCAGTAGCAACCGCGACCGTCAGGGAGCGGACGCGGCGGTGCTTGCAGAGATGAGTTCGCAACGGTGAGACGGTGAGACGGTGAGACGGTGAATCCGTACACAAAGCCATACCAACCGCGACAGTCATGGAGCGGATCTCAAGTGCTGCGGCGGAGCCGCCTCCTCATAGCAACCGCGAGCGGAAGCGAGCCGGACCAAAGGTCCCACTCCATCCAGCACCGCCCCAAATGCAACAACAGCGCAAAACAAAAAAACCCCTCCCAGCAGGAGGGGTTCGGGATGGATTCAACTCATTTCAGCCCGCGGCAAAGCCGCGCTCCTCACCACTGGTGCCTGATGGCTGGTGCCTGGTGCCTCTTCTTCACCCCCGGTACGCCCCCGCCACCTTCGCAAGCGCCTCCCCAACGCTCTTCACCTGCGCATCGGTCAGGAACTGGTGCACCGGCACGCAGAACAGCGTCTTCGCAAGCCGGTCGCTCACCGGCTGGTGCGGCGCGTCCATCTTCTCGAACACCGGCTGACGCGTGAGCGAGCGCGGGTAGTGCACCGCGGTGCCCACGCCCTCCGCATTCAGCGCCTTGCAGAATTCGTCGCGGAACACCGCCTCGTCCGCCACCTCGAACGCGTCGAGGTCGATCCGGACCGGGTACAGGTGGTACGCGCTCTCCGCGCCCTCCGTCTGCTTCGGCGCGTGCAGGCCGTCGATCTGTTCGATCGCGGCGTCGAGCTTTCGCGCGTTGGCGCGTCGCTTCGCCGTCGCGTCCTCGAGCCGGCCCAGCTGGCTCAGCCCGACCGCCGCCTCGAGGTCCGTCATCCGGTAGTTGTAGCCGATGCGGCCGTGCGTGTACTTCGCGATCTCGCCGTGCGAGCGCACCAGGCGCATCTCGTTCGCGAGCGCCTCGTCGTTCGTCGTCACCATCCCGCCCTCGCCCGTCGTCATATTCTTCGTCGGGTAGAACGAGTACGTCACCGCGTCGCCGAACGCCCCGATCCCTTTCCCGTTGTACGTCGCCAGGTGCGCCTGCGCCGCGTCGTACACCACCTTCAGCCCCTTGTCCTTCGCGAGCTTCTCGACGCCCGCGATGTCCACCGGGTTCCCGTACAGGTGCGTGCACGCGATCGCCTTCGTCTTGCCTGTCACCTTCTTCGCCGCGTCCTCGACGTCGATGCAGTACGTCTCCGGGTCCACGTCCACCCACACCGGCACGCCCCCCCGCGCCACCACCATCGACACCGTCGCGATGTACGTCCACGACGGCACGAGCACCTCGTCACCCCGCTCGAACACCACCTCGTACGGGATCTGCAGGGCGCACGTCCCGTTGGCGCAGCTCAGGCCGAACTTCGCGCCGCTCATCCCCGCGAACTTCTCCTCGAACGCCTGGCAGTTCTTCCCCGCCGCCAGCATCCCGGAGCGGAGCACCGAGACCGCCGCTTCGACGTCCGAATCCTCGATCTTCACCGCGATCATCGGCACCATCGCGTCGCTCACGGGCGTCCCCCCGTTCACCGCAAGCCCGCTCTTCGTCCCGCCCGTGGTCGCCGTCCCTGTGGCCATGATCATTGCTCCGTCGTGGTGGATCTCGGTCAAAGGCACCATCGTATCCGCCCCGCGCGAGCCACGCCCCGCGGACCCCCGAGAAAAACCGCCCCGACGCCCCACCACGCCCAAAGTCGACACCCAAACCGCCCGATGATCACCCTCCCATGAGCGAGCACACCCACACCGCCGATCCCTGGGCCGCGCACCTCATCCCCTGGGTCTCCGACCTCGACGCCCCCGCCCCGCGCCCCATCGGCGCCGCCTTCGACCACACCCAGCTCGCCGTCGCGCACCCCATCTCGACGAACGCCGACCACACCGGC